GGGTTGGTGGAGGGCAGGCGCGGCGCAGGCGCCCGCGGCTGCGCCGCGCCTGTAAGACGCCCAGCTGGAAAGAGGTCGGCCAGTCGCCACGGGTGCCATGAAAGGGGCACGCGGCCGCAGGCCGGGCAGCGCTGGCCGGTTGCAGCTGGCGCAGCCCACGTCCACCGGTTGTGGGGTGTTCAAAAGAAGAGTGCGTGCGTGCGCTCGCATGGCGGCGCCGAGCGGCGGCCGGCGCCTCAAGCTACTGTTGCTGTTGCAGCTGCTGCCGCTGCTGCAGCTGCAGCTGCTCGTAGCTGCGCTGCCGCGCCGCCTCGCCGTCCACGCGCAGCCTCGAAAAGCTCAACAGCTCGGCTGCGATCTGGCCGGCCGCCGCCGGCGGCGCCCCCTCGGCTTCCGGCCCAGCGCCGTCGCCGGACCCGCCCTGCTGCCCCTCCCGCGGCGGCGGGATGGCGATGACCATCTGCTGATACCCGCCCGCGCCCGCGGCGCCGCCGGCGGGCCGCCAGACGTGGCGCCACGCGCGCCAGCGGCGGGGGTCGCGGCCAAGGCGCTCGAATTCGCGCAGCTGCGCGGCGAAACCCTCGTTGGGGTTCACCCAGGGCCGGACGGCCCTCAGGTGCGAGAGGGCGGACTCGAATGTCATGTTTCGCTTAGCCATGAGGTAGCCGAGGACGATGGTGGCCGAGCGCGACACGCCGCCGGCGCAGTGGACCAGCACGTTACCTGGCGCGGCGCAAGGGGGGACGAGGTGGGGGGAGGACAGCGTGAGCGCGTTAGAGGGCGTCCACGCGGTGGATGCGTCGGGGGTTGCCGGGTGCCGCGCAGGGGTCGCGCGGCCGCAAATATGCAAACCTGCGGGTGCAGCCGCCTGTGCCTCCAGCAATGCGGCAATTCACAAGCAACCCCCGCACACCCATCCCACACCCTGTCCCACATCCCCGCTTCTCGCCTGCTGTCCCCCCCTGGCGTCCCCCCCTGGCACCTTCGGGCAGTACATGGGTTTGTTGCAATTCAGCCATTTTCTATATGCAATTTGCAATATGTCCCTCACCCTTGCGCGCGATGGCGGCGTCGATAAAGTCAAAGCAACGCGGAAAGTGCGCCACAAGGTCCTCCGCGGGGCAGTCCTGCACCTGAGGTTTCACACGGTGGAGGAGATAATACCATGATAAGGTGTCGTGTGGCGTCACATTCCCGCGAGGGGCGATGCATGCGAGCGAGGTGGCGGCACGGGCGGCTGTGGTGCCACGAGAGTGCCTGGGCCTGGGATTCTACAACGGCCGCCATAGCCGATGAATCAAGCGCTTTTCCCCACACGCTCAGCAGCAGCCGCACCTGGATGTTCATGTAGTTGAAGCTGAGCGGGTGGTTGGGGTACAGCCCCTCGGCGACCTGCGAAATGCGGGAAACAGGCATGTGAGAGAGCATAAGGAAGAAGGGCTCCCAGCACTGAAGAGCCCAGCATCGCACACCCGTGCAAACTGCTGACATCACTCCCGCCAACACCCCTGCTGCGCGACGCCTGCAAATGACGCGGCACTCAAGATGGGTCCTGCCGTCGGCACACAGAAATCAACCCAGACCTCGGGACCCAGACCCCGAGATCACCCCCTGCGAGATCAGATCACGCACCTGCAGCACGTCCGTAATGTTGTCGCCGCGCAGCTTCCCGCTGTCGCGCTCCGCCAGCATGCTGCCAATAAAGAGCCCCGGCACGACGCGCATGGGTGTGTCATCCAGCAAATACTCGATCTCGTCTGCGTCCGCCTCCCCGCCTTCCGCGTTTTCAGATGCTCCCGGGGCCTCCTGTGCCGCCGCTTCCTCCTGCCAGCGCTGCTGCTCCTCCTGGCCGCGCCGCTGCATGTCGTCATCCAACTGCTGCTGCTGCTGCTGCTGCTGCTGCTGCTGCTGCTCAGACTGCTCCTGCGCACGCTCCTGCTGCTCAAGCATTTCCTGCTCACGCTGCTGCTGCTGCAGCTGCTGCTGCTCCTGCTGCTCCTGCTGCTGCTGGTGCTGCTGGTGTTGCACCTGCTGCTGCTGCTGCTGCTGCTGCTGCTGCTGCTGCTGCTGCTGCTGCTGCTGCTGCTGCTCCTGCTGGTGGCACGCAGCGGTGAATTCTTGCTCAGCCTCAGGCAGGACCTCCTCATCAGCGGGCGCCTGCTGCTGCTGCTGCTGCTGCTGCTGCTGCTGCTGCTGCCGGACCGGGCGCAGCAGGGAGGGCTGCTGCCTCGGCAGCAAGCCCGCGACGACCGCCTCGGCCAGGGCGCGCCGCGCCTCTTGGCTGTTGCGCCTGCTGTCCGCTGCCGAGTCGTCGAGGGAGCACCGCGCGGTGGACCCGGCGCGCTCCAGCTCGTCCTCGTCGCAGTCGCGGCCGCCCGGGGACGATATGATGTAGAACGACCGCTGGCGCCGCGCCCCCTGGGTCCGCCGCTGGGGGCGCTCGGCGGGGGGCGACTGCGCGCCGTCCAGCCTTCCCTCGCGGGGCCCGCGCCACGCTGGGGTGGACACCCCGTGCCACGCCGGGGCCCCCAGTTGAGCAACCAGCGTATTCAGGGTGCTGCACTCCGGCCCGAGACTGGGCCTTTCGTTGTCCCCGCACACAAGCGGGACGATAAGCTCCAGCCTATATGATACAGTCAACCCTGATGTCTACAAGACGACACCATAGGCTGCTGGTCGTTCTGAGCTTGTGTGTCGGGCCCGGCGATGAGTGGTGGCAGGTGTTGGCCGCCAGACGCCTGACAGAAAATTGCCGGAAAATACCGGGTCCAAAACAATCAGGATGGAGTACTGGGGCTCCGCCGTGTGCACAACGTCGATCACGAAAAGCACACACTTTGTGCGAGCGGCTTGTTTGTGTGCTACCTGCCAAAAAAGACAGCAACGGTGAGACCAAAACAATGCCACGACCAGTTTCTGGATGGCTGAAGCGCTGTTCTGTCAACCCCAAAATCCTTCAAAGATTGCGTTCCAGCCCTCCGAGACAGCCAGGCCGTCCAGAGTCCGCCCGAAGCCCGCACAGCCAGGGCTCAAAGCGTTCAATATAGTTGCAAGATTGATTTTCAAGCATTGCCCAGCAGCCACAAGCAAGTGCAAGCGGCATCGGCGGTTGTGTGGTGTTGAACCGTGCCGCACTTGCTGTGCGCGCGATGGAGCCACCTGGCTGCCTCCATCTTGCCGCCCCCCAGGAGTGCTGGGTGGTTGTGCAGGATGATGCCACTCATTATGCTGCAAGGCGTCCGTTGTCAAAGCATGGGCGCTTGGAGCTGCCGCAAATTACCTCTCATCATGCTGCATCAACTGGGTGCGCCAGGTGCACAGTGGGTGACGCTGAGATATGCTGGCCGCCACCGGAGGCACCGCATACAGGACGTGTGTCCAGCGGCACTGTGCACGAAGCGCGTGGGGCATCCATGGGCATTCTTCCTGCCGCCGGTAGCTTCCAGGACACCGTTTCACCTGCGTGGTAAAATGCGTGGCAACTTGGTGCCGGTGCATGAAGCCCACTGCGAAGCAGCCGACCAGTGCAGTTGCCCATTCCGCAGCCAACAGAAGGGCGAGAAGGGAGCGGTCAATTCCCAGGCGTGTTCTGTGGACGGGCTGACCCTTTCAGACATTGCATGCGGTTAAGTTGACTACTGTGGTAAAGCACATTGGAGCTCACGCCACTGCTGTGTCGTCCCTGCTTATCCGCATGGCTGTTCCATTCTCCAACCCTTAACCACATTTGCGTGCAATAGCTCGCCCTCGAGTCGTGGCCAATTCTGGAATCCTGTGTCCAGACATGTTGTCTGTGCCGGTGTTGCCTGCCGGTGAGTTGCAAGAATGTTGCTCATGTGGCCAGCCCATGGCACCCGCATACCACAGCATGCCGCCAGTCACACGTTTCGGGTATAAGCAGGGACACCCCAAACGCTTGGTGCATACCGCTGCTTGTCACGTTTGATGTTTGTTCTGTTGACGGCCGACCCTTCTACACACCATTTGCACACGCGCATGCGTCACTGCCTGCATGCTCAGAGATGTGTTCATACGTCTCACAAGCAAGTTGAAATCATACCTCAATGGAATTGAGCGTACTGCAGCTTGCCACATCTGCTGTGTCAGGTGTCTACGGTGGATAGCCACTCCACGCGCAACGCGGCAATCAAATTCCTTGTCGCCGTTGGCATGAGCCAAAGGTGTTTATGAACCTCGACTACCTTGAAGTC